CTGCTCGCCGCAAACCCACAGTCTAGAAGAGTACATCCGCTTTGTTCTGATTGGCATAAGCATTAAGACAGGTTGCAGGTCATCGGTACTACACCGTTATTTTTACCAGAGAAGTAAATATAGCCTAAACAGCTCAAAATCCTACTTGTGGATGTTTACAAGCCCGGAAGCAGCACATCTGCTTTGTTCTTAATGGCAAATGTCGTTCCCATGGGATAAGCATTAAGACAGTTTTCAGGTCATCTGATCAGAGATAGAAACCAAAGTCTACTTGTAAATAAAGATAAATACTAAAGACACTATCGAAAACTCACTGCTACATGTTATCCATGACAGAGTCTGCTATTTTAATAACTCAAAAAGCTTTCCAACAGGAGGATTACATTTCGATGCCCTCCTTTTGAAAGAGAAATACCATTGTATCCTTTTCCTATTGACTAAGCTCTGCGAGTTTTGCATCTACTCCTGTTCTGAAATGCATTGATCCCTTCACACGTCCAGCCAGACGCTAGTTATCTGCTTTCACTTGATCTGCTTATTTGGCCCAGGTTGATCTCAGATCAGCTTGTCTCATACACAGAATCCAGTGCTCTCCCATTTACTGTCAAAATAAAGAGGTTAAGGCCCATTTACGACGTCATAAAGCAGATAAAAGGTTCAAAGCAATGATATTTCTGTCATGAGTCGACGGGATAGGATGTGACGAATCTTTCAGCGAAACACAGCCCCCAACATTCAGTCTATAAATCAAATGAATGAATGATACAAATTTAATGTGAATATTATTAAATGCATTAAATGACAACTGCCAGCATGCACAGTTTCACTTTGCATGCCAGCTTACTCATAGGAGGAAGTGGTTGTAAAGTATTTCACTCATTTTAGTTTGAATAAAATTTAATTCCCATAACAGCCAGATGTGCTGTGGTCATCAGCAGTGCAAATAATTAAGATAATTAGATTGAAAGCAGAGCAGAGCCGCACACTGGCAGTTTTCACATGCAAATGCACGCACATGCACGAACACATGCATTGTGACATGGATTCTCACATCAGCTAACGCCAGAATTTAGCTTCGTACAGCCATGCATTGAAAAAAATGGTTAAAGTAAAGACTCACAGTTCAATAACTGAATGAAGTCTGATGTGTTTCGATGTAAATTAATATGGAACATTATGATAGGACAGTGACAGAACAGTTTGGGCAGATTTGAGGTTCAAACCTGATAATTCAAAGGTAACAAAACGTGTTTTTAAAGCACCTGTTGACTTTATGAGAGTCTGATTCTGATGCTGAACTTACACTGAGGCATAAATCCAAACTTTCAGCTCTGTTAAGTATATAAACGGCTTTACTGACAATATTCTGTCCCTGCGACGACAATAACTGCAAAAAGAACCCTAAGCTTCAGTAACACTGTAACAAAGTCTGTGTCTGTTGCCAGATGTTTATATAAAGTCTTCTGTGACTCTCAGGAGTGTCACGATTTACCAGTTATAATCATAGAATGGTAACTCCTGTTTTTTATGCCTCTCAGGGCCTCTGTGGATTAGTACAAATCGTATCCTCCTGTTTGGTCCCTAAAGTGCTCATAATTAACTAATTTTTCTCTCATTAAAAGTGAAACATTTTAGAACATATAAAATATCTAAACATATAAAATGTAGGCTTTTGGAATGTGTGGCTTAGCTAAAATAAATGGAAAATACTGTCTTATTCTATAGTTCATAAGCTGTGAATTTTCTCACAGCTTACTTGGTAATTGAAACTATATTCAAATTGTTCAGTTTCAGGTTTTTATGGCACAGTCTCTAAGTTGCTTAGACCAATGAAGAACTATTATTATGCGACAAATGTATTTAAATACATTTTATTGTTCTGTAATCCAGCCATTGTTTGTGATCTTAGATTGTAGCTCACAGTTTTGTCTAGTTGACTGATTTCCATATAAACCTTCTATATATGCCTTAACCAAGCCCTTTTTAAGCCTTCTTCCATTTTCTGAGTTCAGTTTTTAAAACCTTGAACCTGAACAGCAGAGTATGAATCACTACACTATAGTCAACAGCACAGTGTATTAGTGTCATCAATAGATGTTTTTTCAGATTCTTTCAGATTCTAACTTGTAGTCTTCAGCTCTTTAACCTATATGAATGGAGTAACATGACTATTAGACATGGCATAGTTCCTTATAGAGCCACAGAAGACTAGTGTCCCCCCCCCCCCATCTTTTATGAGACTACAGTAGGACTTTGTACTGCTGCTATCTATTCCATCATCTTTTATTTTAAGATTGCTTTAACAGGTAAGAAAGTTGTTATCATGCGATAGCTCTCACTATCTGGTTGTTAACTCATTTCTAACTTAAGACTGCTTTCTTTGGATTTACTTTTTTTTAAACAATGCTGTGTGTTGCAATCGAAATATTAAAAACTACACTAAAAACATTATTAAAAAGTTTAGAAATGAGTCCAACTTTTTTTCATACTTCATACTTTCATACTACTTTTTCATGCTTCATACTGTGATCTGAGGTGCACAGCCTGAACTGATGACCTACTTCTTTGGCAGAAACCTTTCAATGTAATTGCAGAAGATAGCTTAAACGCCAAGCATGCAGAAAGTACACACATATAAAAATATAGACAGTGTAGACAGTGGTAAAATGATCCACTCATGAAACCAGTAGCTGATAATGAACTGGGTATGAATCCCAGTTGCCAGTGTTCAGATATTACTTAAAAAAAACACCCAAAATATGAATATTACAACTTATCAAAAGTTACATGAGTCACATTAAACATGAAGATTGTTGAGATTTTGTTTTTTTAAAAATGTGGTTTGTGATGTCATGAATGACATGTGTAATAATCATTTCATTAAGTGTCTTTTCACTTCATAGGAGATAAGAGGCCAAAGGAAACATTGACCTCGTTAAAGTGAATTTCCAAATGTAGCTTAACCCTAAAGCTTTTTGAAACTGAACACTTATTTTTGATGAAGTAATGAGAGCTTCTCCGTTAACATAAGGCCCTTAGGCGAATACAATAAAAAAAAATTAAAACAAAAGGAGAGAACAAACAGCCAACAAGTCGTGCCAATCATTTTCTGCTACATGTTTTTGCAGCCACATGAGGATTCCGTGCAGAATATACTTACATGTGAAACTGTGAGTTTTACAGCATCGTTTCCAGAATGAAGTTCTTCGGGTTTTAGAAGAAGAAACAACCAAACATTCCGTGCAAAATCCATGTTTTCTTTTCAAGGCTCACTTCGCCTCATCGTGGATCCAAACTCAAGCCCACGGGGAAGAAAAGTGTCACCAGAATCCAGAGAAAAGCGGTCAAAACTGACTTCTTGGTAAGCGCCAGAGGTCTGCAGTCACCCTATTTTGGACATTTTGAAAGCTGTCAAAGGTGCGGTGTAAGTAAAACTTCGACCTCTTGCCTTCCATTCGTGAGGCCCGTCGGTTTTCATCCCATGAAGGAAAAGTCTCCGGCTGCTGAGCGTGGAGGATGCTGCGCTGTCTCGATTTGCCCTTGAGCAAGAGAGCAGCGAGGGTGGGGAGGGGTGTGTGTGTGTGTGTGGGGGGGGGGGATTGCTGGGCCACAGAGGATTACCGCGCCATAGGCGTCCCATGGCGCTCTCAGGCATAGTGTGCGCTGTGCTTTTGCCACATCACCAAGTATGCCTTAGTTCAAGGACTATAAAGAAACTCAAAGTTTATTTCTGTAAAAAGTGTGTGGGAAACGCCCAGTCCCCACATTTCACGTGCCTCACCTTTCACACGGGGGTTTTCAACACTTGAAACACTTTTGTTTGCTTTAATGGCCAACCAAAGGCATGCACACCCGTGAAGAACAGCCAGAGCCCGAGTTCACAGCATGCACCCTACAGTGAGCTGATTTGGTTTGGAATCAAAACCTAATTCGCATGAGTGAATCCTTAAAAAGACGTGATTTCACACCACCGGTCCTCAGACTTTTATTCTGTCTTTCCGGGAGGTTTGGACTTCGTGTGCAGCTCATGATAGTGTATTACCCCCTCTAGTGTTCGGTAATAGACTTGCTTTTTGTATGGAGCAGCAAGAATTGTTATTTTCAAAACATTGCGCAGATTGATAGAACCAAATGCTGTCTCATCAGGATTCATACATCACATTTTGTGCATTAAGGTATAGAGGAAGGCGGGACATCATTTAAGCTTATTTCTAAGTCATTCTAATAAAAGATAAAAGGCCTGGTAAATAGTTTACCCAGATAATGTGAACATTGGACGATTGGACGGTCTTGTGTTAATCCTCCTCTGCCACCATATAAACAGATGTTTACATTTGCATATTATATAATAATAATACAGCCATAATGATTGTCCGGCGTGCATCACGGTAAACTGCGTTATCAATCACTGTGCCATATCAAGTATCAATCACTGTGCCATACAGGCGCTAGATCGATATAAATATTGATAGTTTCAATACCAAAGCTGGTATTGATATTGGCTCGAGACGGTTAGGGTCAATACTTTCTTTCTTTCCCCTATGTGCACCTCTGAATTATTTCATGAACAATTATAGCTATATCAAACACGCACTATGAAAAATGTCTCTGTACCTTTTTTGTGTTGACTGTCACATCTGTTTTAATTATGGTAGCACATTTGAACAATATAAGTTGACCCAAAATGCTTTAGAGAGAGACGTATTTAGATTCTAGGGCTTCAAAAAACCAAAACCAAAACCAAAAACTAGTTTTAAAATACATAAATTATGTTACATTGATTATTACATTTTTAAATTGATTGATACCCAAAGTGTACTATTACAAAACAGCACCACTGTGCCAGTGAACAAATCCCCAGGAGTGAGTGGTGGGTAAAGACAAATAAATAAATAAAATAAAATCCTTTTAAGTTAACAGTTCAGGAAAGTGTAGAACAACATTACCCAGAAATCCCAGGTACATATGTTTTCTTTTTTCCGGATGTAGCATCACATGAATTCACTGTCAACATGCAAGATGGCCACGCATCACAGGCAAAATGCTGCTGGGCGGAGGAAAGTACAGGTAAATTAGAGGCGTTACATTATTGATAAATGTGTGACAACGGCGACATCGGGGCCTCCAGCTTAAATATGTTCTTCACAAACACCCGATAGGGAGTAAAAAACACATGCACAAGATAGCGTTGCAGTTAGGTGTCATGACTCAAACCAGCTAACCTATCTAGCTTAGCATACGAGAGGTGTTAGCGGCATGTGCTAACGGTCGCTTCCAAATGATTACATGCTTTTGCAAACATTTTTTTCATACGAGCAAGTGTAAAATACTTTATAAGATAACTACAGATATCGCCTGTCAGTACAAAATAATAACACCCCTCTTGGGTTGCCGTTTGAAGCTGTTACGGCGTTGACGGAAGCTAAGCTAGCTACTGTATCCGGGCTCCGTCTAATTGCTAGTGAAATGTACGCGTCCAGGCAGGTCTGTCGAGAACCATTGCCAGTATGCCCAGCTGCCCTAAAAATACACATTAAAGTTATGCACTTTCCTTGTTGTTAAACTGAAACCGGTTTGCATTATATGCCAGTGTGTGTGACATTTAGTTAAGCTCTGTGTTTGTCTCGTTAACTCTGCAGGTCCTTGCAGTGCAAGTTCACGTTATACAAGTGTTAGCGCGTTAGAGCTTAAAGGGTGGGTGTGTTGTGTGGGCCAAAACAAAACAGGTCGAGATTAGGAGTCTGAGCCCAGCGCCCATTCACCTCTCTGTGTTCCAGGTATCATATGTCATTAGAGATGAGGTGGAGAAGTACAATCGAAACGGGGTGAATGCACTCCAGCTCGACCCTGCTCTGAACCGGCTCTTCACTGCAGGGAGGGACTCCATCATCCGGATATGGAGCGTCTACCAGCACAAAGTACAGCTTCTTGCCCTGCTCCATTATGCTAAAACAGTCAACTCATTTTACATAAGGCAGCTGCTTTAGTATGCATTTCTCAAATCCCATGCCTAAGACCGTCTTAACCGTCCTTGTCCTCTCTTGTTATTGTAGCAGGACCCATACATTGCATCGATGGAGCATCATACAGACTGGGTTAATGACATAGTCCTCTGTTGCAATGGAAAAACTTGTGAGGTTTTTTTTTAAGCTGTTCAGTTCACCCAACATTTTATTTTGAAACCCCCGTTTCTGATTTAAAAAATTTTGCTTTCAGTGATATCTGCCTCATCGGATACGACAGTCAAAGTATGGAACGCACACAAAGGGTTTTGTATGTCAACGTTACGAACACATAAGGACTACGTGAAAGCGTTGGCTTACGCTAAGGACAAAGAGCTGGTAGCATCAGCAGGTCTGGACAGGCAGATCTTCCTTTGGGATGTGAACACACTAACAGCACTCACTGCTTCCAACAACACTGTCACCAGTAAGTAAAGATTTTGCAGTGTGACACTAGTATCCATTTCTGTGCTCTGGACAGAAGCTTAGATTAGATGTGAATTGTACTGAGTGTAATTTGTATTCAGCATGACCAATATGTTTATGTCAAAGTCAGTCTGTACCTTTGGACTTATTATAATTTGTCTCCAACAGCTTCATCGCTGAGTGGGAACAAGGACTCAATCTATAGTCTGGCTATGAACCAGATGGGCACGGTTATTGTATCAGGATCCACAGAAAAGGTTTGTGACACACAGATTTACACAGTGCCCAGTGTTTACACTAAGGAATAAATGCAAACTTTCAGTTGTGTTACATTTTCGAAAATACTGAGACATAAACAGCTTCACTGAGCAACAATCTGTTTCTCTAACTACAGTCACTTTTAAAAGGACTCTAAGCTTCAATAACTCAGCTCTCAGGAGCGTCACAGGTACTAATTATAATCACTCATTCAGTGATTAGAATTGCTTTTTAGGGTCTCTGTGGATTATTACATGTCTCTTTGGGTCCCTAAAATGCTCAGAATTGTCTTAGGGGTGATGTATAATTTGTTAAACTTCAGGTTTTTATGGCATGATCTCTAAGTTGCTTAGACCAGCGTCAAGATATAAAGAACAATTGTTATTTCCCTTTAAACTTCAAAGCATAGTTTAAGCGTTGCTCTGTAATCCAGGTATCATGTGTGATCTTAAATTGTAGCTTCACACTTTTGTCTAGTTGACAGATTTCCAAATAAACCTCAGACCTTAACAAAGCCTTTTTAGCCTTCTTCCATTCACTGAGTTCAGTTTTTTCAAAACCTTGAACCTAAGCAGTAGACAATGAACTACTACACTATAATCTAGTAATTGCCTTGTTAACTTATTTTTACTAATTTCTTAAAACGCAAAACCAGTAAAAAGTTCTTTCATATTCTAACTTGTAGTCTTCAGCTCTATGTAGGTAGGTTACATGGCTTTAGTAAAATGACTATTATAAGAAAACTTCTCTCTCTAACTTCTCTTAAGAATTTGTAAGCAAGTGATAATACAGGTTCTTCGCTGACCTTTGGTTTCTGTTCAGATATCCTTAAAGCATTTCCATTAGGCTGTGACAAATCTGTGGATATTATAAACTATAAAGACTGCTTCAAAAATGTAATATAAAGAAAATGCATGAATGGTGTAATTGAGTGCGTACCTTGCTTTGTTTTAGCCCAGTAAGATTATCATGCATGTAAACACAGTGAAGTAGTGCCTGTTGTCATTACCCTTCTTGTGTCTTTCTTCAGGTTCTGAGAGTGTGGGATCCTCGAACATGCGCTAAGCTCATGAAGCTAAAAGGTCACACGGACAATGTCAAATCGTTGCTGCTGAATCGAGACGGCACTCAGGTGAGTTAAATAATCTGAAATGCCGCGGCTGCCAAAGAGCAGAGTTTCAGAATCTAAAAGTCACTGGTCCTCCCCACAGTGCCTATCAGGCAGTTCAGATGGGACCATTCGCCTTTGGTCCCTCGGCCAGCAGAGGTGCATCGCCACCTACCGCGTGCACGACGAAGGGGTGTGGGCCCTGCAGGTCAATGAGGCCTTTACGCACGTATATTCTGGAGGCAGAGACAAAAAGATCTACTGTACGGACCTGCGTAACCCAGACATCCGTGTCCTTATCTGTGAGGAGAAGGCCCCAGTGCTCAAAGTAAGGGTCCAGCAAATAAGGGCTAGATTTTTGTAATAACTGCATAACAACCTGTGTAATAGTTAATTTTAGGATATATTTAACCATAATATTCAAAATATAAAAGGATGGGTCTCAGGGTCATTCAGCCTTTTTGCCTTTTCTTGCACAGATGGAACTGGACAGATCTGCGGACCCACCTCCAGCAATCTGGGTCTCCACCACCAAGTCATCTGTTAATAAATGGGTAAGAATGCATGACACCTCTGAGATCAGTGATCCACTGTCAGTGTAGTGAAGTATAGATAGAGGGTTGTTCATGTGGCCACACCTAACTGTGTTCAGCCATAATTC